TCTGTCTGTCTGTCTGTCTGTCTGTCTGTCTGTCTGTCTGTCTATCTATCTATAATAAAATATATAAAGGACTAAAGATGACAAAAGCACATACCAAACTACTAAAAAGTACTAAACTATTAAAACTACTATAGGCTAACTAACTACTAAAAATAACTGAAATTAAAATGAAAACTAAAATACAAACCTAAAAGCTAACCCAAAAATAGCATATGAATTATATTTATTATATAAATATTACAAAAATTACACTGGTTCTGTCTTCTGTGCAAAATCAAAAAATGTGCCAACACTGCCCTCTACCGTGAGTACGCGACATCGACGTCAGAATGTTTGCAGCAGTGGCGCAAACAAGCCTGCTTTACGGCAGCTGAGAGGTCGTGCGTGTACTGTGGGCCTGAGGAAGGTTAAAGTGACTCTGGACTGAACGGTCAGTGTTTGTATTTACAATTTGAGAGCTTTTGTATCATTCGTGTAAAATGTATAAATGTACCAGAATGAATGTAAACCGTTCGTTGGAAGTTACATGCATTACGTTAGAATAAATGCATAGGTGTTTATCGTTATCAGGCCTAGGCTATCCAGTTAACGTTAGCCAGCAGCAGGAGTGCTATTATCAGCACAACTTGTGTTATTCTGCAATGATAATATAAAATAAACAAGCCAATGTTGCTAACGTTAAACGTAGTTTTAACTAACCTGACAGATGGCTTTTTTTTAATAAATCAACGCCAGCTAATGAATATGCTACTAATCAGATTCATTATTTGTATTTTTGTTATTGTAACGTTATTTGTCTTAGGCTTAAATGCTCTTAATTCGCCCTTCCACAAATTAAGGCCTTAAAAAGGTCGTAAATTGGAGCAGAAAGTCCTAAATTAAAATGTAGTTATGGTATTGAATGTTTCATGTACTGCAAAAAAAAAAAAAAACTTGGTTTACAATACAAATGTTTAAAGTTTCTTAAATCAAGATACATTTACTTGAGATGCAAAATAAAAATAGTAATTATTATTATTTTTTCTGAGAAACTGACCCAAGTGAGTTTATACTTAAGGCAAAAAAACATCTGTCAGCGCTCAGCGGGTGTAAAAACTTTACAGATTTTTCTGAGCCCATTGGCAGATGTTTGTTCTTGTTTTAATCATAAATTCAATACATTTTCTCATCAGTTTCTCAGAAAACTTCTTGTGTCCTTAATCTTGATTTAAGAAACTTTAGACATTTGCACAGGAAATTTTTTTTTAAAAACACTGAGAAACAAACAATGTTTTTGCATGTACATTGAAAGTTTATAGTTATTTCCATATTTGAGTCGTTGGGAACAGAAGTATTCTGTGTGTGTGTGTGTGTGTGTGTGTGTGTGTGTGTGTGTGTGTGTGTGTGTGTGTGTGTGTGTGTGTGTGTGTGTGTGTGTGTGTGTGTGTGTGTGTGTGTGTGTGTGTGTGTGTGTGTGTGTGTGTGTGTGTGTGTGTGTGTGTG